ATAGTATATTATATTCTTAATATGATTACTATCATTCTTATTTGTAATCTATATTAAATATGCATCCCAACCTTGATTGGATCTGTCTTCTCCAATTCGGATATGTGGTTCTTCAGACTGCTGGGCATGTCTGCGGGCAGGGTCTGTGAGTTGTTGTAGAAATCTGGCCTCCAGTCGTAGATTTTGTTCAACTTGAGGAAAATGCACGGCGAGCTCTTGTGGTAGCTGTAGTTGTTCTCCTTGGTACAGGGCGCCCAGGATTTGATGTCCACATCGCACACCTGACCTCTCGGTGGGGGCTGATTGTAGTCGCAATTGTAGATGTTCTGGCCACGTCCTGGTGTCAAGCCAGGGACCTTGTACACTGAGCGAAAAATAAAAGAAACACCAAATATCATATGAATCCTATTATAATAGATATGCTTGATATCTATAAAGTCTTAAGATAAAGCCTTTTAACAGCAAGTTGCTTTGGTCTAAATTCTTATCATTTATTTATCTCAATCTCATAACTGACCTTTGTCACTGTCAATTTGAGATAGATATATTATGTGTACCCTGACCTAACATATTGCCATCATCTGTCATCATTATTTATTGGATATGTTCTTGGCTTAGTAACGACCCCAATTTCCATACCCCAAACAAAAGGAGACCCCTAAGCATAAGCCATGTGTTTGTGTCTGGCTAAAAAGTCGATATTTTATTTTAATTAAAATAAATGCTAAACACGTTGCGTGTCGTCAAGCACCCCATTCTAAAACAATAAATAATTGCCCTGGCAACAGCAACAAGAAAGCAGTTCATGGCCATTTGTAACATTAACTAGAAACATGCGAGACCTATTTAACAATGCTCAGAGCCTTACCCTCCAGAAATTCATCAAGAGAATCCGTCCAATGTTTGTAGTTCTCATACTGAGTGCCCTTGTACCAGATCAAAGTGCTCTCCACATTGTCAACAGGCGGCAGTGGGCGAAAGCCGAGACCTAATTCGAATATATGTTAATAAAAGATAATTTATATACAGTTATGGAGCTTACCTGGATTTGTGCCAATTATGGAGCTTTCCAATTTCCATTTGGGTATGCGCGGATCCAGAGTTAGAAAGAAGGCCCACATGCATATGGCCACCAAGGCGCCGAGCACGCCATAGAAAATTATATAGAATATGCCGATCTTAGCTATAAAAGAAAGACAGGGAGAGTGAGAGATAAACAATTAGTTAACCATATCAAAGCAAATAGAATTAGAGTCACATAAGAATTATTAAAGATTCATAAAGACACAAGAAATGTCGCCCCGTCAATTGAGCTGATTAAATTAAGCACTTAAAAACGCGACTCAGCTGAACCAAGAGGCGGCAATGGGTTAGACTCTTAATTGATTATGTGCGGAGCCTGAGCGGCAACTCTTAAGACTGATCAATTCGTAATAAGCGAGTCGTACATGATCGAACCGTTGCTTGCAGCGCTTAACCAGAGACTGTCTCAGAGCTGTGAATCATAAGCAATATAAGATCCAAGTCCAAGTATAAGACACGTAAGCGAAGACGTTGAAACGCTCAAGAGCGCGCAAGTAAACAAATGCTGTCTGTCTCTCTCACTTCCGCTCTCTTCATGGATCGTGCGCTCACGCACACATTGAGACGGCACGTCGTGCTGTGCACATAACCTCAACTTGGTCAACATCTTTGGCAATTGAAAGAGAGTGAGGGAGAGAGTGAAGGAGAGAGCGACTGGAAGTAGCAGTGAGAGTAAAGATTGAGTTTGGTATTAAGCGAGGGAGTGAGTGTCTGCTTGAGGCTTGGGTTTGTTGTAGGTAGGTAGGTAAAAAATATATAGACGTAAAATATTTAAAATTAAATAAAATACGAAAAATTGTATTAACAGCTAATAAAATAAAAGAAATATTAATTTATGATAAATGATACTAAATATGAGT